GATTTCTGAGTATTGATTTTGTATCCTGCTACCTTACTGAATTTGTCTATTAGATCCAATAGCTTTTTGATGGAGTCTTTGGGGTCCTCTATATATAGTATCATGTCATCTGCGTATAGTGACAGTTTTACTTCCTCCTTGCCAATGTGGATGCCTTTTATTTATTTTTCCTGTCTGATTGCTGTAGCTAGAACTTCTAGGACTATGTTGAATAAAAGTGTAGAAAGTGGACAGCCTTGTCTTGTTCCTTACCTTAAACGGAATGGTTTTAGCTTTTCCCCATTGAGTATGATGTTAGCTGTGCGTTTATCATATAAGCCTTTATTATGTTGAGATATGATCCTCCTATTCCCACTTTGTTGAGTTTTTATCATAAATGGCTGGTGTATTTTGTCAAATGCTTTTTCTGCATCTATTGATATGACCATATGATTTTTATTTTTGTTGATGTTGTGTATCACATTAATTGATTTGTGGATGTTGAACCACCTTTGCATATTAGGGATGAAACCCACCTGTTCATGATGTATGATCTTATTAGTATATTGCTGAATTCTGTTTGCTAAGATTTTGTTGAGGATTTTTGCATCTATGTTCATCAGAGGTATCAGCTTGTAGTTTTCTTTTTTTGTACTGTCTTTGTCTGGTTTTGGAATCAGGGTGATCGTGGCTTCATAGAAAGAGTTTCGGAGCCTTCCCTCCTTCTGGATTTTTTGGAATAGTTTGAGAAGAATAGGTAATAATTCTTTTTTAAATGTTTGGTAAAATTCACTTGCGAAGCCATCTGGCCCCGGGCTTTTATTTGTTGGGAGCTTGTTGATTACTGACTCAGTTTCCTTGGTGGTAATCAGTTTATTCAGATTTTCTGTTTCTTCTTGAGTTAGCTTTGGAAGGTTGTACGCTTCTAGGAAATTATCCATTTCTTCCAGATTGTCAAATTTGTTGGCATATAATTGCTCATAGTAATTCCTTAAGATTTTTTGTATTTCTGTGGAGTCTGTTGTTACTTCACCTCTTTCATTTCAGATTTTACTAATTTGAGCCTTCTCTGTTTTTCTTTTGATGAGTCTAGGTAGGGGCTTGTCAATTTTGTTTATCTTCTCAAAAACCAGCTCTTGGTTTTGTTGGTCTTTTGTATTGTTTTCCTGGTGTCTATTTTGTTTATTTCCACTCTGGTCTTTATTATCTCCTTCCTTGTGCTCCCTTTGGGCTTATTTTGCTGTTCTTTTTCCAGCTCCCTGAGGTGTAAGGGTAACCTGTTGATTTGAGATTTTTCTTTCTTCTTTAGGTAGGCATGCACTGCTGTGAACTTCCCTCTTAGGACTGCTTTCGCTGCATCCCAGAGATTTTGGGTCATGGCATTTTCATTTTCGTTTGTCTCCGGGTATGTTTTGATTTCCTCCTTGATCTCATCGTTGACCCACTCACTATTTAGTAGCATGTTATTTAGCCTCCATGCATTCATGAGCTTTCTGAGTTTCTTCTTATGATTGATTTCTAGTTTCATAGCATTGTGGTCGGAAAAAACGCTTGATATGATTTCAGTCTTTTAAAATTTATTGAGACTTGTTTTGTGGCCTAACATGTGGTCTATCTTAGAAAATGATCCATGTGCGCTTGAGAAGAATGTATATTCCATAGCTTTGGGGTGAAATGCTCTGCAAATATCGGTTAAATCCAGCTGGTCTAAAGTGTCATTTAAGGCCACTGTTTCCATGTTGATTTTCTGTCTGGAGGATCTGTCCATTGGTAACAGCGGGGAGTTGAAGTCCCCTACTATAATAGTGTTACTGTTGATCTCTGTCTTTATGTCTGTCAAAATCTGTTTTATATATTTAGGGGCTCCTATGTTAGGTGCATAGATGTTTACTAGAGTTATAATCTTGTTGGATCGATCCCTTTATTATTATGAAGTGCCCTTCTTTGTCCTTTATTATGTTCTTCAATTTAAAGTCCATTTTATCTAATATAAGTATCGCTACTCCAGCTTTTTTCTCGGTTCCATTTGCATGAAATATTTTACTCCATCCCTTTACATTCAGCCTGTATGTGTCTTTTGATCTGAGGTGAGTCTCTTGTATACAGCATATGGAAGGGTCTTGCTTTCTTATCCACTCAGCCACCCTGTGTCTTTTGATTGGAGCATTCAGTCCATTTACATTTAATGTGATTATTGATAGGTGTGCAGTTATTGCCATTTTATTATTTGTGTTCCTGGTCTT